GCCACTGTGGTTGGTGATCCTGCACATAGCAGGGGGGTTGAAAGTAGATGATCATTGTGGTCCTTTTCAACCTAGGGCACTCTATGATTCTATGATTTTATGATTATTCTTTTCACTTACAGATAAAAGTATGGATAGAAAAAAATAAATTGAAATCTAAGAGCTAAACATACAAATTTGAATATACTCTAACTCAGTAGAGGCCACGAATTTCCAGAAAAATGTTGATCTCAATTTCACTTTAGTCTTTCTTTCCAGATCAAATCTTCCAGTGACTAATTTTACTTAGTAATTAAAAAACTAGGACCAGAAGAGATTAAGCAGACTACCCTATAAACTTGTACATCAAGATTAAGAGTCTTGATTCTCATACTCACTCTGTTTACAAAAAAATAAGAACACAGCATGCTATGCAGCATCATATTAACTCAGTATAAATAGTAAAAACTATTTACAAAAACTTAAGAGGCTTTGATCTCCTTTGTATCTCTTCAAAACACTGCAGTGTTATAAAAAGATTTGCTTTCCACTATCAGTAGCTTTTCTCTAATATTTAAATTTATGCTCCACTGATAAGGATACATAGCTTGCCATTTTGTGGATGCTACCACCTGTGTGAGATTTCAAAATGGGCTTAATACAAGGGGAGCCATTAACATTTGTGTTTCAGGCAGCATTCAATCTACTTGATGGCTTGTTACATTGATCTACAAGTTCATAAAATGAAACAGGGTGTCAACATAATTATACATAAAATAGGTAAAAGGGTCTTTAGTTTTTACTTTACCTAGTAATAGGTAAAATAGGGTCTTTAGTAAAAGACCCTGTAGAACTATTGTCAGTGTAAAATTAGATAGGACCAACAGATAATAAAACTTGTCCCAATCACCCAAAAATATATGGGGATGACAGTCCCCAATACTGCCAATGAGGATCAGTTAATATTTTAATCTGTTTTTAACTTGTCTGAAGTTTTTATTTTGTTTCTTTAAACGATATGTTGGAAGACATGCTTATTTTCCAAGCAGCCAGTATAAAATAAAACATTTGCACTTTTCAGAAGAAAACACTGCATCTTTCTCAAAGACAATCATTATCATCATGTCTTCCAGCAAAATATCCAATAGACGTTTCTTTTTGCAGAACGTTCCCGATGCTGTAGTTGCTTTGCTTGCTATTGATTAGTGACAGTCAAGGATATTAAAACCTGAGGCTCAAACACCAGTGCTTAGAGCTACTCAGTGCATTTATTTTATTCAGCTTCTAATTCAGGTGCAGATCAAAGTAAAAAGAAAGAGTATAAATAAGCAACTGTTCGAACTCAAAAACTGCAGAAACAGAAGCTTTCCATAAAACCACAGAAAATGCATGTTAATAGAAACCCACTTTGCAGGAAAGGGCGTAACAATTAAATATCTGCACATACATTTTAAAATATAGATGTCTGCAGGTTATTTTATACTTCATTTGCATGTATGCCTGAGAGATCAATCAATACATCAAGGACTCCTTTCTTAAAGCTTTCTGCAAGTACTTGAAAAGTCAAAGCTGTTAAGAAAAAAGGCTGTTTACCTTATGACATCTGTAGCATTTCTGTTTAATACGCTCATTGGTATGCACGTAAAATGCAGAAATGCTGCCACACAGATGTACTTTTGACAAGTGTCAGTTTACAGGTACTAAAAGGAGGATCAGAGCGCATGAAGGACACAGAACAATTACGTCTCACCACTTTGAAAAACAGAATCACTTTCAACTCAGAAACCTTTCTGCCTAACTCTACTTGAATACTGAAGCCAACTCTACCAACATATTAGTTTGCATAATTCCAAGAATAAACAGATAGTCCACATTGTCAATACCTCTCCTTTTGACTCAAATTGGCAAGTCAGGCTATATATATGGAAATAAAGGAAAAAATGTTGCTCATTCTATTATAGTAAGAGTTACTGAACTATATTATACATATTCAGTTGCATTAGTTTGCTTACTTTTGCCTTACAATAAATAATTCCAGTACCTTTGATTATTACAGGTCTCATAGTTGTTCATGAACAATTTTTCAGCTCCAGCTTCCTTCCTATGACATTTTATCTTAAGACCATGAAGTCTGAATTATTCTTAGAAGATGCATACACTGATCACTGACCACATCAAGTAAAACAGTTCTCATTCTTTTACTCCATTAATTTCAATGATCTGCCCTTACAGTCACCGCCATTCAACTACCTCCACATGGCAACTAATAATTTTCCTTATAAAACCTGATCCGTGTCGAATAAATGCTGTTGAGAAGTAGCATGGCCAATGATGAGGATAATGGGCTGAGAGAAAACAACTAAGAAGCAAATTTCAGCTATCCCAGTCACAGTTTTGCTACATAAGCACTACTACAATATTTCTGTGCATCTTTTCCTCCTTCATTTTTGTAGACCTTCAGGCCATATGACAAGAGATCACTGCATCACTGATACAGCTTTGATTCAAGTATTCCTCTCCTGTTAGATTAAGATACAGGTCCCCAGATACCCTCACAAATTCTAATGTCACAGGTTAAAGAACAGACAAATTTACAATTCCCTTTTACTGAACCTTATGCACACTGTGATCCTCCAAGCATCACTCGTGATTTGAGGGTAGAGAAAAAATACACACAGAATGATTACTCACGAACATCACGATCTGAATTTGTAGCCAAGGAAGGCCACCCCAATATTTGGCACACATTTCTCAGGTAGGCAGAAGTATGTAAACCAAGGTCTTGCCCCTTTCCTAAGGCTATAGGAACTTTTCTGTCTGTCCAGATGCTTTGCTAAGTCAGAATCACACTGAAGACACTGTCTATCTATGAATGTCCCTGTGATTCTACCGAAATACAGAGGATGGAGAATAACTGCTCAACTCAGAACTAAATAAAGCAGTCTGAATCTCCTGAAGCTCTTTGAGCCAAAAACAATATGCACTTTACATTTATCCTTGATTTGCTTTCTTCTGTTCTCCACTTTATGTGAGCACAAAATGGACCTTCCCTTCAAAGAAGCACTTTTTACAGGATGCAGCAAGGTACAGAGGAGGAGAATGGTACTGCAGGTTTGTCTTGAGGAAAAAGGTACATTCCCGCTCTTTGTATGTAAGAATAGTACCTTATATGGCACCTTTTTGACAGAACTAAATATGTACTACATTTAATAGGCTAATTGTATGTCCCCATCTGAAGACTCAGCCACTTTTGTACTGGCAAAAGTAAACACTTTTACTAAATGATATAATTACTAAATGTAATTATAAACTGAATTAACATGATATAAATTAGACGTGAGTATATAATGGATACTATTTAGTGGCTTATTGCCTTAACTGCTAGGAGAGGCTATTATCAAGTCAGTGAATAAGACTGTTCTCTTTTTTGAAGCTCTGTTCCTACAACAGGTACTGGTTTTCCTATCCGCATCTGACACACAGTATGCTGTATACACTCCAGATCCTCTCTTGATCCTATTTGTCTGCTTCTTCAGATGCACAATAAACCTAACTTTCCAGGCTCTGGTAAGAGCCTTTCCCTCGTACATCTGGATCAATATCCTGTCCTGCTATCCAACCAAAGAAATGTGCTCCCAAAGATATCTCTGTTATAAATTTTGCAGGGTAGAACTCAGTTGACTCCACTAAGACAGAGTAATCATGCTAAAGACTTGAAAAACAAAGAGGCTCGGGCTACATCTGTGTCAGTGAAAAAGGAAAGGCCAAAGCCCACGCTTTGGCAAGAGTATATCTTATTTTTTAGCTACAATTATTTCATCTATATTTAATTAGAGCACCCTTTTGACCTAAGACAAATAACACTCTCCCACACAATGTTCCAGTATGGTTTCAAGGACAGCACTGGTCAAGAATTATTCACAATACAGAGCATGGATGAGGCCATTTTGTTTGAGGGATGAGGGAGAAAAGATTTTTAAATATATGGGCATGACTTATGGCTTTCCCTCAGGGCCAAAGAAAATATGCTTACTCCCTTTCTCTATGATGCCCTCCAATGCTGATATGCATTGCTCCAGACGTGGTGAAATGATACAGTACATGCAAACCACACACTGTATTTTCTCCCCAGCAAGATTACTTAACAGATAATACAGAACTGAATTATTTCTGATTATCTGACATACAATGAAGTGGAGAGGATGAGTCAGTTAATATGAAATGCATGCTAGTACTGTAACTGCTTAAATAATTCTCAAAATAATTGTAACAATTTTGTTAATGTAGGACACAAAAGCCTGATATTTGGCCTGTTCTAATTATTTAGACTTAGTGCCATGAATCAATAGAGATGGAATAGAAAATAATTTTTCTACATTCTCTCTGAAAAATATATTAACAGGTACTTGAGAGCTCTTGTAATTTTATTCTTGTCTGGAATGGAAAAGAAGATGATAATTGAAAATATTAGCAAACTCAAAAACAAACAAAAAAAAAACCAAAAAAACTCTACTCATCTAAAGACACTAGTCTAAACATGATTACTTGGGACTTTTCCACAGATATACTGTTGGGTTTGCTTACACCAAATTAATTCTTACCAAGTCCTGCTTCACAATATACCTCTAATGAATGAAACAAGACAGCAAGTTATATTCTCACGCTCTGGTATAGTCCATTTAGCCCAAAATATTTCAATGGAATAAAATCTTTTTCAAGGCCTGTTCAAAGTCATGACAATTAAAGAAATAGAACTTCCCAAATTGATATGTACATATACAGATATAACAGTAATTATTCAAAATTTTCACTTATTAACATTTTTACATTAAAATTCTATGAATTGAATATATACATATAGGACATATGTATCCTGGAAAAAAAAATCCTCTAAGCAACCACGGTATTTTATAATTACACCTGTTCTAAGAAAAAATTCTGTAAATTCAGCAGGTATATGTAGAAATAATATAGTCTTCATTCTTTATAGGTTAGGAGTCTGAATAGCTTTATCATCTCACCTTCAATGTCGCAGTCTTGCAATGAAAGCCATATTTGATCTACCAGACCAACTCCTTTTACTTCACCATGAACTGGAATGGAATGCATTACCATTAATGCAATTTTCAGGGCTCAGTTTGCAACTGCCAATTCTACTCTTTTGATATTTACTTTTCTTCACCAATTGCATTATTTTCCATCCTGCTCTGCAGGAGAGAAAGTCCACTGTGACATTTCCAGATTCTTCTCCATTCACATTTTTCAATTAATGATCTACATCATGAGGAAGAGCTGCCACTATTAACTTACATATTTTATTTACTTGATTCTACTAAACAAAGCTTGTACATCTATTTCAGAACTATAGAAAACTGCATGGCTTTAAAATATTCATAGAACTGAATGCTGTACTCTGGGTGGGGTCTCACAAGAGCAGAGTAGAGGAAAGGAATCCCTAGACCTAATGGTCATCCTTCTAACTTAATGTATTGATAGCTCCTTCTGAAATCAAGGGCCAATCCTTAGTCATACCTCATGGAGCACATTTTTGTTTATAGTTTTCTGCTAGGATGTTTGCTTTTGTTGAGGATCATATATAGACCAAAATTCAGTTCATTAATAGCCATGTCAGTAATTTACTACATTAATGAATCCTTAGAAGACCTACTAGGAAAACAGCTTGTTAGGTACCTGGCACTGCTCTTCACTCCCAGTACTGAAATTAACCTCTAACCAACTTGCACTGCCTGAAGTTTCTCCCAGCTGCCATCTGTTGTGACAAAAGCCTAGCATTCTTTTGCTGCTCCTGTAATGCAGGAGGTGATGTAACGTTCTGCTCCTCTTCCAATCTGTGGTAGCTCAGCAAGAATCATCACAATGAATACAAACAAAAAACTCCCAAATTAAACCAAGTTTTTAGATATTGGTTCTAAGCACTCTTTGAAACATGAAACTATGACTTCCATGTGCAAAGGCAATGATCTATGGCCAGTAGATTTAGAAATGCTATGAATTCAATGTAGGGACAAATGTATAAAAACAAAAAACAAATAAAAGCAATCACCAGCCACATGGCAATTTTAACAATCTACATTTTGCTTGAAAATTTGGGTTGTTATACATTTTTATATATCTATATCTATCTATCTATCTATCTATCTATCTATATATACACACAAATATCTTTCAACATACTTCACAAGTCTCCAAACAGCTTTCTCCTTGGAAATTATTTTAATTTTAAAGTACTGGTCCTTCACAAAAAAAAAAAAAAAAAAAAAATAAAAGCAATATAAGTACATTTTCTACTATCAGCGTGTTATGAAATCAATAGAGTATACATAAAACTGATTTGAACCACATTAAATACTACAATACTACATCAGTAAAAGGGGTAAAGGGAACTGCAGGCATTCTTTGACGGGTTAGGGACTACAATCCTCTGTAAATCTGGATCCATTGTGTTCAACAAGCATCATTAATTGTGTTCTTTGTGTTCTACAATACATCTGACCTTCAGGAGGCTGATTATGAAAATATTATTCTCTCTTGACTGTAGACCTTTAACCTGTTTTCAAATTTTCCTAAAAGCCAGGAGAATGAAGAGATAACGCCACAAATTTTATTTGCTATTTTTCAGCCGACGTAAAAATTACACTGGACTTTTTTAGTCTTTTTAGACTACTAGTGGTATGTTCAGCTCATTCTAATCAAGTGAACAGATCTTAAATATCACTTTGAAACTACAGAATTTATATTTTTAAAAGTAAATAAATAATATTTAGGAATTTGATGTATATGTGAAAATTCAAGCATACAGTGACAGGACTTTGCACCTCTTGAAAAAGTATCAGATCTGTATTTTATTCAGAAAGCAAGTGCTTGGCTGAGGGAATACTCTAATGAGATTCCAAACAAAAGTATAATTAAAATATTCTTCTGTATTTGTGGGTGACTGCTTAGGATTATGTGGGTGACATGCTATTTTACCTTGATAGAAGTTTCCATCCTCATCAGAGGATCATTGTGGCCTTTCCTGCAATTAAAATACTGAATCTTGGACTTCTCTTAGGATTTAGAATATCACTATAGGAAGTGAAGTTAGTTATTGAGAATACAAAAAGTTTATTTAATCTACACTGAAACCATTTCCAAAGAAGGAAAAAAATAATGAACTATTCCTTTTATAATAAAAGGAATTTTTAAAATAATGAACTATACTTTTTAAAAAAAATCCACCTTTTTTTGTGCTTTTCCGGAAAACAAGCTTCCAAAATACAATACGACGGATCATAACCCATACAATGAAAATGTCCTTCACACAAAGAGGAACTATTTTCTCAAATTCAACTCAATTTTACAAACCCCGCAGAATCAAATATCTGAAATTGAATACCATTCCTTCACAGCTGAACGTACTTTCCCGGCCATAACACAACATAGAATTACTGGGGATGGGAGGGAAAAAGCTCCTTTCATGACTGCCAAACAGTGTGATCTGAAGCTATTCATCAGCACAGCTCCCCTGTACTCGGATAGGAGCTGAACCTTCTCCTGTAATAACATGGCTTTATGTCCGAGCCTGATGATGCTAAGAGTTATTGATGACAACCTCGATTAAACTAGTAATTAAATCCTCCAGGACACTCATATGGTTGGGAAAGGGTTATAAGAAGGACAGAGACTGAGCAGCAGTTGTGACCTTGAAAGGAAAGTATTGATTGGATTTTGCCTTGTGAAAGGACAGAGGGAAAACTGAAACCAACCATCCTGAATCATTAATGAACTCCCACTGCATGCTCCCAATTCCAATTTTTCACATGTCCAAGTGGATCTTTCTTCATGGTTCCTCAAAAACAACATTTACAAACTATTCATTAAAAGAAACTTCAAATTAATTTTAGACAACATGATCTACATTTAGGCAACAACTGAAAAGATGTCCCTTTTTCTAAATTCTAGACTATGCGAGATATATAACATGTTATATATATTTTCATATGCACACATATAGGTCTGTGTTTATATACATTATGTTTATTACTGTAAGCAAGCAGAAAATGCCATTGATTGTCCATGCCTCCACTTAGGCTTTCATAGTACCCACTGACACAGAACAGGATTTTTAAGTCCCTGGATCTTTCCTAGGGTTGAAAGGCATTTGAGCACACTGTCTGTGAAGAATAACCATCTATCTCTAAAAAGAAATGTGTTTTTTCTTCTTCACAGAAAGGGATGATGAAAAGTGGTAATTTACATGGCAGGAAAATACCAAGAAACTGCCTCTTTATGTTGTTTAAGCACTAAAGCAATTTAGAAGAGAAAAACTGGAAGAAGAAAGCCAACAATTAGATGAGATGTTGGAAGGTGTACGATAATTTTCTCCAAATTTATCTTACATTTCACTACATCTTCATTCTGACTGAGTTTTCCTCCTCAATGATTTTTTTTCATTTTTCTTGTAAAGTTTCCATTCCTACAAGTTATTTCAAACAGCTTTCAAATGGATATATCTAGTTACTGTGCTATTTGCTACAACACAGAGAAAGCTTGCTCTTTCCATCTTGGCTCATCTAACAATCCTACTGCAAATCACTCTCCAAATATTATTATTAATTATTAGTTATTCTTCAGAGAAGTAATAGCTTTTGTTATTAAGATTACAGAACTGCTCTTCTGATTTCAAAAAGCTTCTATTTAATAAAGCAACCATGTTAGGAGGCCGGATAAACATCAAGCCGAGATTTTTTTTAAAATGTGATCAGTGCAAGAGAACATGAAGAAAACTATCAAGCAGCCAAATGACCACTGACTGTAGGCATACTCTTGTAAAGATGCTGGTCAACAGACATAGGTACACCAACAAGGTGCAAGAATGAAATGACTTTTTTTATTTACCATCCACTGCATGAAGGAACAAATGCAACAACTTGTTTTTTCACTGCCACATGGCAACACACTGGCAGAAGTCCATATATATGCACAGAAGAGTCAATATGCACGGTCTGTATATGCACAGAAGAGTGCTCAGTGATGCCAAAGACAGTAAGCTCATGGATGTAAGGAATGGGTTATTTTTAAAGAGTCTTCTAGTTTCCATTTCAGCAGCCTATTTAATTACCAGCACTTCCACTTTCTAAAGATCAGAAAAAAGATCTTCCTTGAAAACCACTGCTTCAGAAACTGATACTTCCATTACCCTCTTTTTCAAGGGCAAAACAGTAGCACTGCTAAAGTTCGAGAATAACTACTGGCAGTATTAAAGTTAAGTTAGGTGACTTGTATACAAGCAGGACAGCAAAACCCACTGCAGTAAGTAATACTGATATTAGTGTTGTAAAATAAAATGGTAACCATAATCTTACTATAAATATATAGGCCATTAAAAATTTTGAATTGCAAAATTGCAGTCAAAGGGAGATTATACCTTCTGCTCTACATTCTGAAACACAACAGTTGTGCTCACCATGGAAATTTACATTTCTTTATGCTAATGAAAAAACTTCCAAGAGTTAAAGGATTATCAGTAAAGAGCTAGTAAGTCGGGGAATAAAAAGGACATTTAATTAAGTAGGAGCGAAAGATGAGCTGTGGATTACAGTGACAGGCTACAAAAGAAAGAAAGTGGGGAAACCTACATTATAACAAAACTAGAAACCAGTAGTCTTACTAAAATAATTGCAGTGTGACCAATAGTCTTACTAAAATAATTGCAGTAAATTTAGCAAGAATTTGGCAGTTGGCAGACCAGAAGCAAAATTATCCTCTTTCATTCATGCCACAAGCGCCCTACCTGTAAAGTCATTCACAGTGCTTATCCTGCACCAACCTGGAGTTCCTGTTTCCACCAGTGGTGTTTCCATGCTCAAAAAGCAATAGGATGTAGAAACCAGGCTAGAACAAACAAGTTTGCTCTCACTGTTGGCCAAGCTATGCAGCACCCGTCATCACAACACAGTCTGCTGTTCTGATCTAAGAAGGCTAATCAAGTACTTCTGTGCATACAATTACTTTCACACTGTGGGTGGAAGAGGTCTTATTTTTCTGCTTCAGTCATAATTTTAGTTGCACACACTGAACATCACCATATTCC